TTCCATCTAGGTTGTGAACCAATAATTCTTGTTTCGCAAGTCAGTGATAAAATGATCTTCTGTTCACCCGCTAATGAACCGTTCTGTTTAAGTGCAAAACAACAAAACATAGAACATGTTTAATCGAACATGATTCTCATTCATAAAGGGCAAAAGTGTAGTATCATCTAAAGCCAAGCTTTCAGTATATAACACCAACAAGATGGAGCAGTAACATAATTTCCAATAGGTAAATCAATGAATAAAGAGCATCATGTATAGGCAAAGTGTGAGGAGAAGAAGAAAAAGAAGTATGATTGTTTGAGGGTGGTTTGTGAAGATGAGGTGGGGTAGAAGGTGTAGGTGTACCTGGATTAGATTTGTAAACAATGATAAGAGGAGATGAATGAGTGATATGAGGTGAGGCTGAAGGGGAATCAATAAGGTGTTTGTTTTGATAGGGAAAAACTTTTGCATCAAAGATAACATTTTTAGTTATAATGACCTTCTTTTTTGGTAACAAGACTTTATAGCCCTTATACTTAGAGGTGTATCCACAAAAGACACAAGGTTGGGATCTAAACTCAAGTTTCTGCTTGTTCATTGCTTTTGGAAGTGGGTAGCAAAGCTATTGAAAGACCAACATCATGCTATAGTTTGGTTTATGCTTATAAAGCTTCTCAAAGGGTGTTTTAAAATCAAGGAGCTTGGCTGGAGTTCTATTAACGATATAAACAGTTGTGGCAAATGAATTGTCCCAAAAATCCATGGGTAGATTGGACTGGGCTAATAAGGAGAGCCCAACTTCAATGGTATGCCTGTGTTTTGTCTTAGCTACACCATTTTGCTTAACGGTATAAGGGCAATAAAAACGATGTTGAATACCATTTTCATCAAGTAAGCTTTGGAAAGCTTGGGATTCCTCTCCCACATTTATTTGAAGAGATTTGATTTTTCTATTAAGTTGGTTCTCTACAAGATTCTTGATGTTCTGAAAGGCTTCTAAGATTTCCCTTTTGGTTTTAAGAAAGTAGATCCATATATATATTTAGTGGCATGTTATATAAAGCTAGGGAAAATAATTGTGAGCAACCTGAACTATACGTGATTTTGGTATTTGCAACCTAAAGTATTTTTTTGGTAAAATGCAACCCGAACTACATACACAATCACTATTTGCACCCTCGACCACATCTTGACCATACAAGTGCCCTTTTTTGCTATTGATCGAACGGTCAAAATGTGGTCGAGGGTGCAAATAGTGATTGTGTATGTAGTTCGGGTTGCATTTTACCAAAAAAATACTTTAGGCTGCAAATCCCAAAATCACGTATAGTTCAGGTTGCTCACAATTATTTTCCCTATAAAGCTAACATGGTAGGAAAAGCCATTTTTGGATTTGATTGGGGAAGGTCCCACAGATCACTATGCACGAGAGATAATGGTTGATGATACTTTGAGGGATTGAAAGGAAGAACTTTTCTCTTGGCTTTCATCTAAGCTTCACAAAACTTTTTAGCTTTGTTTGATTCATAATAGGGACCGTTTACACTGATCTAAAATCTTTTTAACAATACTCAAGGGTGCATGTCCCATTTTAAAATGCCAACCTTCAAGGATTTCTCTCTGAATTGAAGCTAAACTAGCTGAACTACTCTTAAAAGGAACTTTCTCTAGAGAAGGAAGTTGATTCTTGGAAGAAGGTGTGACTCTTAGTAGGGTCTGATGGTTGTCGAATCCAACAACAATAAATTCCTGCTTCTAAAATAATTGTAGTAGTGGTAAGCAGGGTCGTATCCACAGAGATTAGCTAGACAAAGTATTGATGCAAATATTAGGGAAAGAAATAAAAATAAAAATGATGGGGGGTTTTGAGGATTTTATCTAACTAAGAAAATAAAATAAAATCTAACCAGATACAAAAACAAAATGAGTGATTATAAATAGAGAAGATATCCAACCAAAGGAAAACTCGTAGAGATGGTTCAACGATTCGATCATGGATGCAAAGATAATTCTCATATTCTCGATTAAACTAGTTATGGTTATTGGTACGACCTAATAATCTATCCTACCTTACTTGTTCGATAATCAGGATACGATATCTAATTATTTCTCTAGTAAGCAGACAACCCCAGATACGATCATAGGATTTAATCTATTAACAACATTGAAATCTAGAAGGACCACCAATTCTAGCCAATAAACGCACATGTAGGATCATTTAGGCTAGATCATATATCACCCTAAGCATACAATCAAAAACTCTTTGTAATCAACTATGCTATTTGCCATAAATATTAGAACGATCAAACAATTATGGATTTAATCATCCTAAATAACGATACGTGTTTCAATAATCGAACAAATGGCCAGTTTGCTTAAACAAATCAAAACACATTTGGTAATAATCACAAATCATGAAGAACCAAATCTAAAATAATCCTTTGACTGAAAAAATAAATTAATTCTCCATAAACATGGAAGAAGTCTCTCAATTATTCATGAAAAATAAAATAAAAGAAGCAAAGAGGTGAAGAAAAGAGAGAGGGCGTGCTTATGGAGAAGAATAAAAAAAAATGGATCCCAAAATAAATCTAACAGCCTGGTTTTTAATCAAACCACGACTTCTCCCAATTATTCATGAAAATAAAATAAAAGAAGAAAAGAGGAGAAGAGAAGAGAGAGGGCGTGCATGAGGAGATGAATAGAAAAGAGAGATGGATTTCAAAATAAATCTAACAGTCTGGTTTTTAATCAAATCAGTCTAATCCTCCTCCTAGCAGAAATTACGTAGAAAACTAATAAAGAAATTATTCTCTCTCCAAAATATCCTAATAAAATAATAATCGTCCATAAATAAAGACTCCTAAAAGGTTTTATTATTCTTTTTCTAACTTGAGAATCCTTCCTTCTTCTAACTCTTGTAGGAAATTAGCGTGCTTTGCCTTAGCTCAAATTCGTCTCTTTCGCCCTCCAATCATCATAAAATTCCAAATTTTGAGATATCCTACAAAAATTAAAAATCAGTTAAACTCAATAATTAAGCTCAAAACAAACACCAAAAAAGTATAAGAAACATAACAATTAACATGCCAAGAATATTACTTATCGGGATCTACTTTGTTGTTATATCCTTCAAAAGGCAAAACATAGGGTGAAACTCAAAGAAGACCTGATAATCATTAGCAAAATGGGAGGCACTTAAGAGGATTTTGGTTATATCACGCACATATAAGAGGTTTTTAAGGATCAAAGGTTTATGTGCCAAACTTGTAAACTCAGAATTTATTAAGGATCTACGAGTATGGTGAATAGTCAAACCTACACCATTCTGAACTTACAATCTATTTCCCCCATGATATTCACTTGCAACACTTATGCGTGGTTATATAATATTTTGATTTTGTTTAAATTTTTTTATTTGGTATGGTTAACTTTGAAAAAAAAAAAATGGTATGGTTAGTTGTTAATGGGATTTTGAGTTTATATTCAAATAATATATAAAATAAAACAACTAAAGTTGGTCTGATGTAAAAGTAAGAGATAGAGAATGTGAAGTGATGGTTAGTTCAAATTATGTAAGTAGATGAATAATGAATTAAGGCGGATGTAATGTGTAAAAATGATTAAGTGATATTAATTAATTATTTTGATATAAATGATGATAGCAGGGTTGAATTCTAGTTCAGTTAGATGTGAGTTTAAATGAGTAATTGGTTAAAAGTGATTGAATTTTTTGGATAAATTTGTATCCAAGCATCCCTTTAGATGCCCAATATCATTTGTAACATGATTTGTGGCCCCTGAATCAGGATACTAGGCTTCACAGAGCCGGTCCTATAAATTATGAGGCCCTGGGCCAAATATAAGAATAATGCTTCAAATACTTTGTTTTTTTTTTCAGTTTTAAGAAATAAAATTTACATTTTAAATAATGTCAACAACCATTCGACATTCTTTTTCTTAAAAAAAAA